AGCTGGCCTGCTTCACTCAGTTACATTCCCTGCCTGGCCCCCGGAGCATTGTTTGAGTTTATGACTCTTGGTTGGGTGGCCATTGCAAATCAGGGACAGGTTGAAGCAAGGTTTAAACTACTGATGAGCTGGGGCCTAGATTGGCTTTCTGCCTCAAGGCTCAATGCAGACATACATTGATGGTATACTTCAAAGGCCGAAGAGACACTTCTAAGAGTTCTGAAAGAACTGCCGCTACTTGTCTGTATAACGTCTATTGTACCTTTCAAGAGAATTATATGATGTTTAAATACAATAAACGAAAGTTTCCAGAAATAGATATAAATGCTGTGGAAGAATGCTAGCATGTCTTAAATTTGAATCACCTTAAAGAAGCAAGAAGATATTCAAAGTCTTAAAATTATTTTGTAAAATAGTTAATGTGCACTTATATTTTATTGAAATCTTTTATTGATTTCTTTATCCGTCCTGTATAGTAATACATCTTTCCAGACAGAAGGAGGAAATGAAGAAAGAAAGCAAGGAATAAAAAAAGGAAGGAAACTACTTAAGTATGGGGACTGGTTAATCCATCTTTTAAGTTTAATTTTTATTATTAGATAATTAGAAGTTGCAAACATTGTACAGAGGGGTCCTGTGTGCCTATTACCCAGATTCCCCTGATGATGACATCTTCCATAACTATAGGCCAATCCTTTTTTATTATATATTCCAGTGGCCCACAGTAACTGTTCAATAAAGTTTCTTGAATGAATATGTTTGCATATAGAAAATGAATGTTGCCATCTATTGATTTAGCATGCTAGTCTTATTATTTCTTTTATTACTTTTCAATATGTAATGTATGCACACGGAGCAAAATTTGATAAGCACAAAGAATATACAGTTGTCCCTCGGTATCTGTGGGGGATTGGTTCCAGGGCCTTCTGCAGATACCAAAATCCATAGATGTCCAAGTCCCTTATCAAATGGTGTCATATTTGCATATAATCTACACACATCCTCCTGTATACTTTAAATCATCTACAGATTACTTATAATACCAAATACAATGTAAATGCTATGTAAATAGTTTGTTTTGCTGTATTGTTTAGGGAATAATGACAAGAAAAAAGTCTATACATGTTCGGTATAAACTCAACCATCTATTTTTTTTTTCTGGACATTTTTGATTAGTGGTTGGTTGAATCCATGAATACGGAGCCGACAGATATGGAGGGCCAACTGTGCAGGGAGAAGTAGGTCTCCCTCTATTCCTGGCCTCCCAGTTACCCAGACGTCTCTCCAGAGACAATTATTTATTTGTTTTTGATGTCTCCTTCCATACATAGTTAATGTTTGCAAATCTTCATGTATTTGTTGTATCCCCACCCAACCCCCTTCCACTGTAGCATATCACACGCACATCTTTTTCACTTAGCAGTATATATTAGAGATTGTTCCATATACATTCATGGAGTTTCTTCATTCTTTTTAATGGCTATTTAATATCTGTTCCATTATATATTAAATGGATGTACCATAATTTATTTAACTAATGCCCTGTTGATGGACACTTAGGTTGTTTCCTGCCTTTTATTATTAAAAACAATATTGTAGTGAATATCCACATCTGGTTTTATGTAGTCTCTTTAGGTACTAAAGTATCTATTTATGAATTTAAAATCCTGGAACTTCTCTATTTGGTCATATAAGTAGAACTTTGGTGGCAGAAAATTTCCTGAAGCTTTGTGTGGTTTTTGGCTTAAGTCAGTGACATTTGCCAACGTTCTGGCTGCTTTAACCAATGCTGATGCACCTGTTCTCAGTTATTTTCATCTGAGCCATGTCTGATAAGTAGAGAAAGGAGTAAGTTACACCCAGATGATCTGCTAGGGATGTACCACACCAGATAATGAATGTGCATCACTTCTAGCATTTGATCCAGCTTGCTGATCTGTCCTTGCCCTAGCTGATTGGTCTTATCTCTTATTTGAAATTATTTTTTATCTCCCCTTACTGCCTGCCAGATTTTGGTGAAACTTCATTACTCAGTAAATACCTCCTTTCTAAACAGCTTCTCAATGCAGAGAGATGAATCATGTTACCTCTGTGTTACTGGCCTATGTCTTATTAACCATATCTTTCTTTTAAGCAGAGTTGTAAAAACCAAAACCAGTTTCTCTTCTGATCCTTGTCTGGGTTTTCATTGTAGTTCTTGAGGAAAAGACTGTTCTTCTCCACACTCAGAATTTATTTTGGTCCCATGAAGCCCAGTGCTTCCAAGCAGCTGCTAACAAGTTGCCCCAAATGTCTGCAGAATGGGAGGGATACATGTCGATGAGCTTATCACTCATTCATTTAGTCATTAATTCATGCAACAAATATTTATTGAGTGTCTACTCTGGGCCAGGCAGCCTCGGCCTAAATCAGTGAACAAGACAAAAATCTCTACCATTATAGAACTTGTTCTCTGGCATGTGTGTATGTGGGGCATGGAGGACAGACAAAAATAAATAAGCTAATTATTTAGCATGTTAGAAGGTGATAAATGCCACAGGGGTGGGGGGTGGGGGCAGGCCAAGGGAGGTTGGGACTGGGGCATGCGAGGCACAGTGCAGTTTTAAATGGAATAGTCAGGGTTGTCCTTGTTGAAGATGTGAGATTTGAGCTAAGAATTCAAAGAGGGGAGGATATATTTACACAGTATCCTGTGTGTATGTGTGTGTGTTTACATGAAATACCACTGAAGATCGAATTTTTTCTACAGCTGTATTAAGATATAATTCACATACCATAAAATTCACCCTTTAAAAGTGTACAATTTAGTGGTTTTTAATATATTTACAAAGTTGTGCAATCATCACCATTATCTAATTCCAGAACATTTCATCACCTTCCAAAGAAATCCATTTCTGCCTCTACCCTAGCCCCTGGCAACCACCAATCTACTTTCTGTCTCTATAGATTTGTCTATTCTTGGCATTTCATATAAATGGCATCATACAATATGTGAGCTTTGGGGTTTGGTTTCTTTCACTTAGCATAACATTTTCAAGGTTCATCCATGTTGTAGCATATATCACTATTTCATTTCTTGAAAAATAATATCCCATTGTATGGATAGAACTCATTTGTTTATCCATTTATCAGTTGATGGTGACCTTGAATTGCAAGGTGTCATACACGGGGTTGTAGTGATTGCCCTCCCTGCCAGGACTGATGGTGCCCAGTTACAGTCAGCACTGGCTAGACTTGGTTTTGGAGAAACTAGAAAGCCAACCCTCCAGAGCCCTGCTTTCCCATAGTGACTCTCTCCTGAACTCTGGGTGGTCCAAACCCTGTAACACAGATCTGTGAATTCTTCTCCAAGTGCATTTTCTATTCCACATGTTGAAAATATTTTTCTCTACTTTAGAATGTAACCTTGGTAGGTCGTTTTTTCAAGAAAATTCTCAATGAGTTTTCTTTTCATTTTTTTCTTTTCTTTTTAATATTTTGGGTGTGGTAACAAGTAGAAGCAGGTCATCCTAACCAAATATTTGCAAATATCTGAATAAAGCCATTCTGGTCCGGGAAGGAAGGCTCCACAGAGTAAGTGGGAATTGAATTCAGCTTTCAAAGGAAGGATTCAATTCTCAGAGGACTAGATGAGGAAGGAAAAGGCATGTGCCAAAAAGGGGCAGGGAATTAAAAGTTTAGTTTCTGGGTGACTGGAACCCCTGGGCCCTTGAGCACGTATCTTAGATATGTTAATTTAGCAGCCATCAGTCTGTACACAGAAGGTAATGGTGTTGGACTCCTCCAGCCTTTTGCACATGGCCAGCCTCAAAGTTTCAGAACTTCTTTTGAGGGTGGTGCTTGAATTAGTCTCTGGGGCTGCAGAAAGATGAACCCCATCAGAGTCGAAATGACTTCCTCAAGGTCTTCCCCCGCTCTTCCAGTTGAGAGTAACTGCCCAAGCGACACCTGTGCAAGAACCTGACACATCCCAGCATGGCCAAGGTACAAACGGCCGCAGACCGGCAGGGCCTTTCCCCTTTGATCCTGGAGGTGGGGGTAGGGATGAAGGGCTCTGAGCGGGCGCCCAGGCTTCCTATGAACTGTGAATCGGGGAGGGGCAGCCGGGAAGGGCAAGGCTTTCCACGCCCGAATGGCCCTAACTCCTGCACCGGACCAGGACGCGTGAGGCCACCAGAAAGGACGCGCCATCACCCCGGAGCAGGTTGCAGTCCTCATTCCCGCCGAACTCCAGCAACCGCAAGCAGAAATGTCTGCCGGCGAGGGCGGAGCGCAGCAGAGGGGGCGGAGCAAGGGCGAAGGGGCGGAGTAGAGTGGACGGGCGGGGGGCGGAGCAAGGATGAAGGGGTGGGGCAAATCGGCGGGAGGGGCGGGGCGAGGACGAAGGGGTGGAGCAAGACGGCGGGCTGGGGCGGAGCGAGGAAGAAGGGGTGGAATGCAGACGGTGGGCGGGGGGCGGAGCTGGGGCGATGGGGCGGAGCGATGATGAAGGGGAGGAGCGCAGACGGGGCCGGGGCGGGGCATGGGCGGGCATGCCCAGCCGCCGGGCCCCGCCTCCCGCCGCAGGCGCGCCCGCCCCGCCTTCCTACTCCCCACCGCGGCTGTGGCCGAGCGCGGGGAGGGAGGGGAGAGCGGGTCACGACGCTGCCGGGGCGGGGATAACCCCTCACGTGGAGCAGATGAAAGGGCCGCGGCGCGACGGCCCGGGGAGCCGAGCGGAGCCTGCGACCCACAAAGCCGCCGCCGCCGCGATGGGGCTGTGAGGCGTCCGCCCGCGCTCGGTCCTCCGCCGGCCCGCGACTATGCCTGGCCGCGCCCGCCCTCCGCGCCCTCCCGCCGCAGGACCATGAGGCCGCGCTCGGGCGGGCGCCCAGGGGCCCCGGGCCGCCGCCGCCGCCGCGCCCGCCAGCATGCCCGGCGGGGCCCGCCCGCCGCTGCCGCTGCTGCTCGGGCTGCTGCTGGCGGCCGCGGGGCCCGGCGCGGCGCGGGCCAAGGAGACGGCGTTCGTGGAGGTGGTGCTGTTCGAGTCAAGTCCGAGCGGCGACTACACCACCTACACCACCGGCCTCACGGGCCGCTTCTCGCGGGCTGGGGCCACGCTCAGTGCCGAGGGCGAGATCGTGCAGGTAGCTGCCCGCTGCCCGGGCCCCGCGCCGCCGCCGCCACAAGATGGCTCCGGGGGCTGCGCCCGCCGACCCCGCCGCGGGCTGGCTGACTGGCGGGCGGGCGGGAGGGGCGGCTGGGAGGCCGGCGGCATCCCTCCCCGGCGGGCGGGCGGGCGGGACGCGGCCTCCGGGGCGCCGCAGCGGGGGCGAGCGCACGTGGGTGCTCGACCTCCTGCGGGTCCAGGAGGCGGGAGGGGGACCCCGGGCCCAGCAACCCCGCTGCGGCGACCCGCTTGAGCCGGCTAGGTATTTCGGTCTGCCTCAGGTGGAAGTCCCGGGAACTACCTGTTGAATGCCAACTTTGGAAAGACAAGTGATGAAGGATGGGGTGGCTTGTTTCAGGTTGCAGGCTTTGCTTTCCACCCATGCATGTTCTTTTTGGGTGCGGCCAGGTTTGTCTGAGGGGCTGCATAACGTCAGGTTCTTCCCTGGAACCTGCCGCCCGCCTCACCTGGACACCGCTGGCCCACCTGCAGGGCTCTGGACTAGCAGCAGCAGGCAAGGGAGCTGACGGAGCTGGTCGAGGAGTGGGGATCGAGGGTGCCCTGGAGTGACGGTGGAAGGCAGCCCTCGCTGCGTGCCTTACATTACAGAGGGTGGGAAGATGACTGCCCTCCAGCCTCTCGGCCAAGGACTAATACGGAGGGGCCTGCAAATCGGGAGACGGGACCGCTCGCTGACAGGGCCTCCACCTTGTTCCAAGTAAAAGGTTTGCATTCCAAAGGAAGCTGGCTAGGGAGAGCTTTAAGCTATGCCTACTCTGTGGAGGAGGGACTCTCACTTGAAGCTTCTGCAGATGGTTAGCAGGGTGGATGCCTTCCCGCTTCCTTGGCCGTGATTTTATCGACTTGTTACTAGACTGCCAGCGCACTTATGGCGGTTAATAAGCGCGCCTCGGATGGGAGTGATTTCAAATGGTTGGCTTGTCTTTGAACCTTTTCAGGTGATTGGAAGACTTGCAGGGCCTAATCTTTGGGCCTTCTGCGCTTTACTCTTGGGTAAGTTATGAATGAAGAGAAGGGAACTGTATGCAATGATTGCACAGCAGATCAGAGTGTAGACAGCCTCTTCCTTCTCTTCCTTTTCCCTCCTCTGGTGCAGACTCAAAAGCCCTGCGTGGATAGGACAGGGAGCTGTGCAGCCTGGCTCCAGGTGTGTCCTTACAAAGCTGAGGGAGGTACCTAAGCGCATGCTATTAATCAGCACCGTTGCTTTACAGGGCTCTTATCCCCATCTTAAACTTTTGTGGGGTAAATAAAAGGGGAAACACGTTGATTGAGCCCCTTAACTACATATGTTAAATGCTTTTGGACTTTTTAAAAAATAATGTTATAATTCTTTAATTTGTAAGCTTTAGAGATGATGCTTTGCTGAAGATTTCTAAACATTTCAATTGCAGCCTTCAAGAATAGTTCGAATCTTAAATCTTGCTCCTTGTGACTCCTTGTCTCTCTTTGAGGTTTCTGTGCTCTGATGGCTTTAGAAATGTTTGATTTACAGCCTTCCAAAAAAAAAAAAAAAGATGTTTTAACGTGGCACTTCACTTTTTGAAGTTCAACTTTTGAAGTTTGTGATTTTTATCTGCAGTGTTTTAACTTGTATTCTTTCTCAAGGGTAGTTTGTCTAGTGAGCTATCCATTATGAGTAGTGCTGTGCTTTAGAGATAATCTTGGGTTTGCCCTTTAATACAAAATTAGCAGTTTAAACACACCATTTGTAACTGTTTTATCCTTGTGAGTGGGGAGATAATGTGTGAATTTGGCAGAAGAAATCTATTCTCTTTTGAAACTTTTTGAAGTGCTTATCTAACTCTTTTATAGTCCATTAGCCTAGCTCCCCTCACCCCCCCCAAAATTAAGTCAACAACTGCTAAGTAAAGAAAAATGACTTAAATGATATTTAATAAGTTTACCTGTTAAGCAATCACTAATAAGTGTCCTTAATTCGCTTATAACTGCAGTAATGTTGGTGAGTTTATCTGAGCTGTCTGAATAGTCATTTCTTGGTGCACTGTGTATCTTTAATAACTTTATTGTAGTGGCCGACTTGTTGAACTTCTGTGTCCATGGGCAGAGTGCAGTGCGGCTTTCAGAGCTGTGTGTGTACAAAGGCTGGCATGCTTTTATTAGTTCTGCGAATACTGTCTGATTGAAGGAACTGGTGTGGCCCCTGTTGGCTGGCCCTGAAAAAGTTTTTTGTAAGGAAAGCTGATGTTTTAGGACTGCTGTGAGGGAATATAACTTTTCTTGTGTGTGTGTGAGAAATGAGAAAGTAGAAGAAACAAATTGGTGCCCAGCTTCAGATTAATCATTTTTTCTAAATACTCTCATTGAACTTTTCAAAACCTTTCACTTACTATCTTAAAATTACGTGTGATTTGCTATTTAGTATTTTATGGTCTTTAGAGCAGAGTTAATTTTCCTGTATCTAAAGCAAAATAGCACTATAGCATGGCTTTTGTTACTTCCAGTGGGGTTCTGTAGCAGTATTGTTCATGGTTTATGGGAGAAAAGACCTGTTTGGGAGTACCTCTCCTTTAAGAATTCTCAGATAAGAAAATGGGTTGTGTTACTGATTTTTTTTTTCCTCCCTCTCCTTATTATATGTCATTGAAAGTGTGTGTGTATGTGTGTATGTTTGTTCAGTAGATACCTTATCATAGTCTGATTTGCCCAGATACTTTTAAGTGGAGTACCTGTTTAGTCATTTATGTGTGTTAGGGTAGGGGGAAGCCTGATTAAGAATTGTGTCTGTCTGGTAGTGTCGAAAGAGAGAGGGCTTGTAATTCAGACCTTGGGATTAGTCACCAGGAATCTTAGTTCTCCCCTTGTGCATTTTACGCTTAAATATCTACCCCAGTGCTCGCTTCGGCAGCACATATACTAAAATTGGAACGATACAGAGAAGATTAGCATGGCCCCTGCGCAAGGATGACCCGCAAATTCATGAAGCGTTCCATATTTTTTTTTCTTCTTTTTAATATTTTATTTTTTAAAATAAAAAGAAATCTACTCCAAGGTCACCATTGGAGTCTGTATGAAGACAGTTGGTTTTTGTTTATTTTTGACATCTACATCTTTGAAAGTTGAGGTGAAAACAATGTGAGTATGAAATGCTATTAATTAGTGTTAACTTATTCATGCAGTGGTAATTAGTGTTAACTTACTCATTTGCTTGTAAGAGTGTCAGGCATACACTTTGGTTTTTTTTTTTTTTTTTTTTTTGAGACAGAGTCTCACTCTTTTGCCTGGGCTAGAGTGAGTGCCGTGGCGTCAGCCTGGCTCACAGCAACCTCTAACTCCTGGGCTCAAGCGATCCTCCTGCCTCAGCCTCCCGAGTAGCTGGGACTACAGGCATGCGCCACCATGCCCGGCTAATTTTTTCTATATATTTTTAGTTGTCCAATTAATTTCTTTCTAATTTTAGTAGAGACGGGGGTCTCGCTCTTGCTCAGGCTGGTTTCGAACTTCTGAGCTCAAACAATCCGCCTGCCTCGGCCTCCCAGAGAGCTAGGATTACAGGCGTGAGCCACCGCGCCGGCGGTCAAGCATACCCTTTGAATGCCGAAGGAATTAATTACACTTCTGTAGTTCTGAAGTGTGGGACTTTAAAGGGTTCTTAGACATATTGATACATATTTCATCTTTGAACCAATTTGTTGCTGTTAATGAGATCATTATCTGAAACTTTCAGACTTGGCTGTGCAACTCACATGGTGGGTGATGTTAAATAAAGACCTGATTAAACACTGGCTAGTGGTATGTGGATTGGTTAAACAAACAAAGAAAATTTGCATTGCTCGAGATGAAAGATTGTTTTAAAGTGGAAATGCATTTTTTTCCCCTTGAAGTCAAATATTTAGAAAAGCTTGAGAAATGATTCGTAGAAGGAATTTGAGTGATAGATTCTGTGTAACTTTAAAATCAGCCTTTCTGGATCCTACATTAAGTGTTGAATGAACTTGAAAAAAGGTTAGCTGAGGATATTTAAGAACTAAGTCAGTTCCTTTAGATAGTTGAGTTGGGAGGAGAGCTGAGTGGTGGGTTAGAAAGGCTGATCAAGGTCCTTAAAATAGCCAATGTTAAGTAAAGGTATCACAGAGAATAATTTTAGGAAACTAATTCCTCTCCTTTGTTTCCCTGTCAGTGTTGCTGCAGTTTAGCATTTGATCAAACACTTCGTTTCATCTTCATTTTAACTTAACAGGCCTGCCTCTAAAAATTGACTTGGCCCTGATAGAACAATTGTGTGCTGACAGCTGACCTGGATTTACCCAGAAAGGGATTGCAGACTGTCTTCTCAGATGGGCTTTCATAGGTTAGGACCAAGCATTTGATTTGGGGGAAAAAGTAGGGCTGTGTTTTGTGACCTTAAAAATTCTTAGGGGCTCTTATTTTCTGTCCTGTTCTCTGAGATCGCATGGGAGTTACTAGTGCAATTCCGAATAGTGATGAAGATGGGAGTGGGAGGTAGTGTGGAGTCTGTAGACTAAAGGGAAGGCAGTGATGGCTTCCACTTATCAGCATTTATTGTGTACAGAGCACTGTGCCAAGCATGTCACACGTTGCCTCATCTCATCCTGATATTAACACAGAATTAGCAACTATTGTTAACCCAATTTACAGAGGAGGAAACTGAGGCTAAGAGAGGCAAATTGACTTCTGTAACCTCACATGGCCAGCAAATGATAAAACCTGGATTGAAAGCCAGACAGATCTGTCTGGCCCCCTTGTTCTTGTTTGTGCCAAGTAAATAGAACTTGTCTGGTTAGGATTTTGACATTAATTCAAGTCTAATTTTTAACAATCCGGAACCCCGAGGGTCACAGACTTCCAGAGAAAGCCCATGACCCCCTGAAATTATATGCACGTTCTTGTATATGGACACTTTTGTTTTCCTGAGAAGACATACAACTTTGCCTCTTGGAGGGATCTGTGATGTCCCCCTACCCTCAAGAGGAA